TCCCAGCGACCGCTATTAATTATATGCCCTCTCAAGTTTGTATGCGTGATTACTATGCGTTGAATTAGATGGCGGGTTGCGGAAAAATCCAAAAATACACATGTTTTTTAAAAAAAATTCACAAAATACACATGTTTGGGCATCACCGCTGTTGTCAACCGTAGTGAATTCATTCACCGCGGTAGACCAAAGCGGTGAATGCATCACCGCGGTTGACGGCCGCGGTGAATGCCTGACGTAACATTGAAACTTCAAACAAACGTAACTTTGCGCTCGGTTATCCGATTGTAGCGAATCTTTTTTTGATTCCACATAACTTTTCAAGATCTTTCAATCTGCGACAAGCCTTCATCCAAAAAAAATTCATTTGCTACCCCGAACGAGCAATTTTTCGATTTTGACAAACTTTGGAAGACCATAACTTTGTGCTCCACAATCCGAATGTCATAAAACTTTTTTTTTTGATTTTGCATAACTTTTGAAGTACTACAACTTTGATTATAACCATAATTTTAGAAAGTATGTGTATTTGTGAAAAGTAAAGGCAATGTTATTCCCAAAATCTCGTATACCCTGCAAAAGTAGTAGTTCTTAAAAAGTTATGTGCAATAAAAAAAAAACTTTACGACTTTCGGATTGAGGAGCTAAAAGTTATGTCCTTCCAAAGTTTGGCAAAATCAAAAAATTGCTCGTACGGGGTAACAAACGACATTTTTTTTAGATGAAGTTTTGATGCAGATTGAAAGATCTCGAAAATTTATATGGATTAAAAAAAATCGCTACAATCGGATAACCGAGCGCAAAGTTACGTTTGTCTGAAGTTTCAGTGTTACGTCAGACATACACGCGGTCATCAACCGCGGTGATGAATTCACCGCTTTGGTCAGCCGCGGTGAATGCATTCACTGCGGTTGACAACAGCGGTGATTCCCAAACATGTGTATTTTGGGAATTTTTTTTATAAGTTGTGTGTTTTGGGAATTTTTTTTTCAAAAAACATGTGTATTTTGTGAATTCATCCGCGGGTTGCTCGGCGGCTCACTTGCTATGTCCTCTGTTTTGTGATTTCCTCTGTTTTGTGATTGAATGAGAATGGCCTTGAAACACATTCCCCTTGTTCTGCGACATCAAAGATGGATGATATCCTTCTATGTACCGTTTTCATCTAAGAGAAATAATAACGATCCACCCGTGCCATGCTCTCGAATTAGAGGTGGCAAATGGATTGATCCATAGATTGGTGGATTGGATTGGTGGATCTATGGATCAAATGGATTGGATCCAGTGGATTGGTGGATTCATGGATTGGATCAAGTGGATTGGTGGATTATCCATGAATTCAAATGATATCCTCAACCAAGGACCAATATGTAAAATGTGAAAAGTTTAGTTACTAAAATGTCATAATGAAAAATTTTAGGTACCAAAAAGTAATTTTCCAATGATATTTTTCGTATAAAAAATTAAATTTTGGGTACCAAAATGTAAAATATAAAAAGTATAGGTACGAAACCGTAATTTGTCATTTGGATCCATGGATCAATCTATGAATCCACCAATCCAATTGGATTTGGATCAAATGGATTGGATTTACATGGATTGGATTAAGTGGATATTTTTAATGGGTTGGTGGATTGGATTGAGAATTGCCACCTCTACCTCGAATTGTCCCGACTCTAGAAGAAAGCGCACTCGAAAATTGGGTACAAGGTCCACTTCAAGGCCCCTGATCACTTCGACCTTGGGTCATCCGACAACAAGAGCCTCACAATGTAGGCATGAGCAAGCAACAATATGAAGTTTTGATGAGTCTCTTAAGGGCTCGTTTGCTTGTTGGATTTGAAAATGAAGATTTTGAGTTTTAAAAACCTTTGGATTTATGATAGATTTGTTGCATCATGGATTTGGAAGAGTACATTGTTTGTTTAGTTGATTTTTTATCATGGATTTGTGATGGATTTGTCTCACATTTTTTCCTTCTATTGTCAAATCCCAAATGAAATGTGGGATTTACAAATCCGTGGGGTCCACGGATTTGGATCTAAAAAAGGGGTCCAAATCCGTGGACCCCACGGATTTGTGTCCCTCAACAAACAAAGGATTTGTGTCAACTCCATGATGCTTGGGATTTGGGTTCCAAATCCATCACCCAAATCCCACAAGCAAACGACCCCTAAATGTCAATGCATCATCCAGTGGTGACACTTCTTCCTCTAGGGCTGGCTATTTGGACCGAGACCGGATGAAAAACCGGAAACCGGACCGTATAACCCGGACCGAGACCGGACCGGGACCGGATAGTAAACAATCCAATCCAATCTTTGGGCTTAGATTTGAGGTAAAAAACCGGATAAAGACCGGATAAGAGAGCTCAACACCCAAAACTTAAGGGTAATTTGCATAAACGGTCACAAACCTTTGCACTTATACAAAACTTAACCAACTCCTCACCCTTTTAGGCCTTAGGCCACTCAAATTCCCACAATCTCAATATAAAATCAAGACCGAATTGGGACCGGACCGGGTCAAGACCGGACCGGATCAAGACCGGACTGTATCCAATCCAATCTTCGGTCCTTATATTTTCAAAAAAACCGGACTGGACCGGATCAATTTGGGCCAATTTAACCGGACCGGACCGTATAGCCACCCCTATCTTCCTCTGTCAACAAAGATCCATCTCTCTCTCCCATGCTGCAGCTTTTACAATAAGAATATTGACAACAAAGACAAATATACTCTATATCTGTTCTTCCTAAATCATCATATGAACTTGAGGAGGTATGGATTTTGCCTCAGATCACATAATTTGTAAATCGAAGTTATTTGTTTCTTGTGTGGAGATTCAGAGTATTCATATTGCTCTATGTACTTGGTCAGGAAGTTATGGCTAGGAATGACAATGAGGCAGGTCTGGGGTGGGTTTCTTCGTACCCAGACTCGTTCCGTGGCAGGTCGGGTCCAGATCAGGTAATTTATCACGGGTCGCAGGTCGGGGCAAGTCGACCAATGTGTATGCAATTTATATGAAAAACATTAGAAATATTTGTTATTTTTATTATAAGACCAAGAAAACAAACAATATTATGATAAATGTAGTTAAATTATTAGAGAAATTGAGGTTTTAATTAATTTACAACTTTATTATAGCTAAATTATGATGTAATAAAAGAAAAATTCTAAGTAATTTGACTAAGATTACATGTAATTTAGGCAAGAACTTGTCGAGAATGGGGCGGGTCAAGACAGGTCAGGTCGATGAGAGTACCCATGCCCGTCCCGCTCCAAAACAGGCCAAACAGGTCGGGTAAAACGGGTCAGATCAAAATTGCCATCCCGGCAACACATGCAGGACTAGTAAGATTGTCAGTTGGACATAATTTTGGAAGGAGTATTGTTAGTTCTAGAAATTCAATCTCTTGTCAGTAAGTACAATAATCTGTGTAGGACTTTCTAAACTGATTTTTGTCTAGCCCAGGAGATGACGAAGATGAACGTAATTGATTTTGATGAGCTCCATCATGGTCTCTACAAGATGCATATATAAATCACCCGCCATCAGGGTTCAATAAGGTGTAATTCTGCGTAGTACACATTCTTGGGCGATTCACTCATTACTTGGAAGAGTCAGAAACAGAAGATAGTTTCCAGGTGATCATCTTTAGAAGTTGAATATAGAGCCCTAGCTCAATTATCTATCATGTGAAGTCTAGTTGTTGAAGTCCTTACTAAATTTAATTTCTATGAAATAGCTCATCAACGACCTATTCAAGTGTTCTGTGACAGTCAATCAACTATACATGTAATGTAGCTGAAAATCCAGTATTTTGCAAACGGACTAAACACATTTTGAAGTTGATTGCCATGGAATTCATGAAAGACTACAATCAGGGCTCCTTTCTTTGCATAATGCCTGAACAAAAGAACAAGCAGCAGACTTGTTTACGATAGGTTTGTCAGTGGATACATTTCACTACTTACTGTCCAAGCTAGCAGTGCATGATGAATGCCTGCCAGCTCGAGGGGGTGTGTCAATCGGAATGGATGAATGCCAACTGCTACATAGATTGAAGAACACCATTGATGAACTATGAAGAACTACGCAAAATGATGAAGAACCAAACCGGACATAGCTTCCTTAAACTCTCTTTGATACTCAGTCAAGGGAAATTATTTGTCCTGTATTTTTTTTCAAATTTTTTTTTTGGATTCAATAGATCACAATGAACTCGTTCTTTCTATGCAATTTTTTTTTGAAAATCAAGGTAAAAACGAAGGTGGTACTGGGGTGGTAACGAGTGATATGAAATTTTCCTTGGAATATATTGAAATTGAATATCATTTTGTAGATCACAACTAACTCGTTCGATCTGTACAATTTTTTTTTTCAAATACAAGTTAGAATGAAAAAGGAAAAAGCTGATTAGGAAAATTAGGAAAGATAAAAAGACATTAATTTACATTCCTTAGATGTGGATTTTTCTGGGTCCACTCAAAATTAAGGTTATATATGCACCCTGTCCTATACCGCTAGTCCCTATAACCTTATGATTAAGAATGTGCAATGATCCTATCGGAATATCTATTCGATTCATATATCAATGACATGACCGTTCGGTATGGCTTGATCTAAATATTGGTCTGATCCAGTAGAGTCAAATTCAAAGGAGCTATAAATATGGACTAATAATGACGTGGAATTTAGAAGCTAGAAGGATGGATCGGAGTTCAGTGAATGAAGGAGTTTTATCATTTTTGTCATTTTTGTCTGAGTCGAACGATTCACATTTCACAGCAAATAATACACCAGCTTCCATCAGCTTCAAAATCGACGCCTTTCGTCTTGTACTGAGCATTTTAGCCCAGTCTTCAATCTTGAAGTTCTTTCCGATCCCTTCCCACTTGGCAAAACTACGGATCGTCCACGTGTAACTTCCTGCATGCATGGAATGTCGTTTCTGTCTTCCGAATTATATAAACGCGCCACCATAGATGCCTTGATATACAAGCACCACGTCCATAGGAAAGGATGACGTTCTACGAGCTACTCCTCTTCCCAATCTCCATCACCCTTCTCGCCGTCATAATCCTTTCCCGATTTCTCTCCGCCCCTACATCTCCCAAAAAGCCGCTTCCGCCGGGTCCAAAACCATGGCCGATCGTCGGAAACCTCCCTCACATAGGGAAAAAACCTCACGTCTCCCTCCAAAACTTCTCCAACATCTACGGCCGTGACCTCATCTCCCTCCGCCTCGGCTCGCAACTTCTAATCGTTGCATCTTCTCCAGCGGCCGCCTCCCAGATCCTGAAAACACACGACCGCATCCTCTCCGACAGATACGTCCCCAGAGCGCTGCCTTACGACACGGCGGAGCTCGACCGCAAGTCAGTCGCTTGGGCGTCCAACTGCAACGACCACTGGAAGGCCTTCAAAGCCATGTTCAGGAACCACGTCGCCTCGGCCAGGGCGATCGAGTCTCAAGCAGCCGTCAGGGAGAGGAAGGTCGCCGAGATGGTGGAATTTCTCGAGGGGAAGTTAGGGGAGTCGGTTTGTATCGGGGAAGTGGTTTTCGCTGTCATCTTCGATTCGATGTCGAATCTCATCTTCTCCCGAGATTACATCGGGTTCGAGAGAAACGAGACCGCGAATCGAGTGAAATCGCTGATTCGGAGGTTGATGGAATTGGATGCTTCCCCTAATCTCGCCGATTTTTTCCCGGTTCTAAAGAATTTGGATCCCCAGGGGCTCAGACGCGAGTCAATCCGTCGTTGCAATGAGCTCCACTCTCTTACACAGCCTGTCATCAAAGAGAGGAGAGAGGGTCAAGAGCGCCCTGGTGCTAAAGACTTTTTGGATATTCTCCTGGAAAATGGACTCGATGATGACCAAATTGACTGGTTGAGTCTGGTAAGTTTGAAAGAAAATTTCGGTTTATTTATTTATTTATTTATTTATTCACAACACGAGTTTAGTTTTAGCTTAGCTTTTTTTCTCTGGCTTTCTTGTAGGAACTGTTCTCTGCTGGAACAGATACTAACACATCCACAATAGAGTGGGCGATGGCAGAGCTGATTCGAAACAGGGGAGCGATGAACAAACTGCGGGAGGAGCTAAAGAGAGAATTGTTGCCACCCATATCGGGGAAACCGCTGATCGACGAATCCACTGTGGCTCGACTTCCTTACTTGAACGCAATCGTGAAGGAGACGCTGAGGCTTCATCCGCCGGCGGCCCTGTTGGCACCGCACCGAGCGTCCGAGGCTTGCGAGGTGATGAATTACACAATTCCTAAGGGGGCTCAGGTTGCAGTCAACTTGTGGGCGATAGGGAGGGATCCGATGGTATGGGAGGATGATCCGGGTATGTTTAAGCCTGAGAGGTTTATTGGGTCGAAAGTTGATTTTAGAGGGCAAGATTTCGAGTTGCTGTCATTTGGCGCTGGGAGGAGGATGTGCCCAGGAATGCCGTTGGCTGCCAGGCAGATCCCATTAGTTTTGGCTGCCTTGGTTCATATATTCGATTGGCGTCTTCCTAACGGAGAAGACCCGGTGAAATTGGATATGAGTGAGAGGTTTGGAATCACGTTGCAAAAGGAACTTCCTCTTGTTCTTATTCCCCATCGGAGTTCATTTTGAGGCTTTTGATGTTGCTTTCGCAGCTATTAGTGAGTTAGTTCATGTAGTAACTAGTTACCCGTGAAAATAATTTGTAGCTCATACTTCATATAATAAAATTATTCTCTTTCTCTTTTATTTGTCAAAACATATAATATAATAATTATGTTAGTAAACGGTATATGATCCACGATTGAATCTCTTTCAACAGTTCGAGTTATTGGGATCAACTAGTTTTTGACATGGTATCAAGGTCTTCTGTTCGATTCCCGGTTACCCCATCTATTTATGTTTTTTTTTTAATAATGGTGAATGATTAAATTAATCAAAAAAAAAAAAAAAAAAACAAGAGAAAAAGTCTGGACAAGCCTTTGGAGCTAACACGAGGACAAGCTGCCAACCAGCCACTCAACTGAACCAGCACGCTAAGCGGATCAGGCCGCCCCTGCGCGCCGAAGAAAACCCAGCGACGAACATAATAGACTAGGCAAAATAATCGCAAAGAAACAAGCCGGTAACGAGGCCAGCGAGAACAACAATGACTCAGATTAGACCTTAACCCGCATCCAACTCCAAGATATCATATCTTCCTTGACGACCGCTATTCACGGGAATAGGACAAATATGTTTCGTTAGAGACAACCATTCTTCGTGACCATGATCACTCATGATGCCGATAGCATTCACCCAACTGAGAAGGATCCTGCAAATGACATGGAAGGTGTTTTGCCAAGGTTTACACTTGCCTTGGAATGTTCTTGCATTTCTTTCTTTCCAAACCTCCCAAGAGAAAGCATGTAAAGCACCATGAGTGATTCTGTTTTTCCGGGAGCTATTATTCCAGAACGTCCATCCTTTTATGATTGACCCAAAATCTTCTGGAAAGGTACCAAAGACCTCCACCGCCTGCTGCAAAGCATTCCAAGTATTGCTGCTGTAGGGACATCTCCAGAACAGGTGATTTATGTCTTCTTCCGCCTGCAAACACAAAGCACATCTGCTCGCAATGCACCAGCCCTTCTTTTCAGGTTATCGTGGGTGAGAACTCGACCATGCACAAGAAGCCACAGAAATGCTTGAATTTTCATGGGAACATCAGGCTGCCAAACCACCCTTAAAGGGGAAATCATTGGAGCCAGGAAATCTCTCGAGGTTGAGCGATTTGTACATCGAATTCGCACTGAAATCGCCACTCAAACACAGACTCCAAATGAGTTTTGCAGGTCTTGCAGAAATAAACCCAACAGGTAACCGTGACAGTTTATGCATAAGATGAATTCTTTCACTCTCAGCCCCACCCCTTAATGTAACAGAAAGTTGAAAATCCCACCCCAATCTCTCGTTTTCGAAGGATATAGTGTCGGACACCCAAGCATCATGGTGGATAGCGGCAGCCACAACTCTAGGAAAAGCATCTTTCAGAATCGTTCCCGAAATCCAACAGTCATCCCAAAACGATACCCAAGCGCCTCCACCAGGAGAAATATACGAAAACTTCCAGAACAATGTTTCATCCTTCATAATCCGCTTCCAAATCGAGCATCCCACAGGTCCACTGCTATTTCCTTATCTCCAAATAGAAGAAGCATTAGAGAACTTGGCCTCAATGAGACGACGCCACCACAAGTCAGGTTCCATTGCAAATTTCCATACCCATTTAGCCAACAAATCAATATTCATACATTCAAGGTCCAACGCTCCTAATCCACCATTTTCCTTTGCAGCTTTGCAAACATGCATCCCACCGGACCAAGTGGTACTTGTTCTTGTCCTTCACATCAGAGAGTGAAGCGGAGATGCTAACCAGACTGTTTACGGAAGAGGAGGTATGGAAAGTACTCAAAAGATGCAAAGGAGACAAAGCTCCCCGACCTGATGGATTCTCGTTCGCTTTTCTTAAGAAGCAATGGGGTGTGATCAAGGAAGATATGATGAAGGCTTTTCATGACTTCTATACTAATGGAACATTATCATTAAATTAAATGAGAAAATTTTCGGTTGATAAATCAATTCAAAATTTATATAATGAATAAACATAAAAATCAACACATAGTTACCTTTACATAAATACATGCAACTAATACTAATACAATTATTTTACAGTCAACAGAAGTATTCACCTAACAAAAATATATGCAATGGGACGAGTTAATGAATTGTTGTGTTTGTGTGAATTGATTTAGTCTTTTAACAATTATCATAGGATGAAAAATATATTATTTTCAAGTTTTAATCCAATACAATGTATGAGTTTTATCTGAATGAGGCATCCACATATTGTGGTCTACACTCTACAAATACAAATATCCCGTATACGAACAATATTGAATTTTATCTTTTATGAGCCTAAAAAGGAGGAACGTTTGACTCTTGAGTGCTTAAACAAAGTATTAAGTATGTATATATATATGTATTAGATATATGACTAATTATTTATCTGGTTAATTTGGTTCGATTGGGTAGCAGTGTCTGAAACCAAACCAAACCACCTAAACCAAACAAGCTACAAATTGAACAAAACCAAACCAATTATCCAAATTAACCAAACCAAATTATTCAAATACTATCGGTTAAAACGGTTACCAGCGTAACCGCTCCGTTTGAACACTCCTATAAAGTTGGCAAGATGTTAAATGAGTACGAACAGACCAGGGCAAGAAACTTGTTCAGAAAAGTCATCACTCAATCTCTAATCTACAATCTGCAATTTACAACTGTTATGATGGGAATTAAATGCTCACATTTCTTTAATTTCAAATTTCTTGCAAAGAGAGCGCAAGTAGTAAGGGTACATTCGTCTGTACCATTGATTATTTCTTATTTAGAAAAAATATATCAATGTTAAGATTTGAACTTGAATCTCTTCAAATAAAGATAAGAATCATAACCAATTACAGTAATAAAATTTGTTGTATCTTTCTAAATTAAACACCTATTATAATGGGGATTTATTACTCACATTTCTTGCATTTCAAATTCTTTGCAACGAGAGCAAAAGTAGAAAGGGTACATTCGTCATTACAATTTCTTATTTAGAAATAATATCAATGTTCAGATTTGAACTCGAGTCTCTTCAAATAAAGACAAGAATCACAACCAATTACATTAATCAAATTTGTTGTATATTTCTAAATTAAACATACACAAGAAGCAAATATCTGAAAATCATATGACTTTCCCAGTACGGTTAGCTAGCCCACTAAGACCAACTCCATTGCAAGCCCCCAAATTTGGGGATGAACATCCCCAAATTTGGGGTTCATCCTCATTTTCCCTTCTTTTGCTCCAACAGGGGCGGAGCTAGGATCTAGTGGTCGGGGGGGCCGGACTTTATTGTATAATATTCGTAAAAAAAAATTAAGAAAATATTTACATTGTGAGTCATAAGCTTCAAAATTTAATTATCTAGACTCCAAAATTTAATTATCTAAATTAGAAAATTATTATAAGCTCCAAAATTTCATTATCAAGTTTGAACTTTGAAATTAAAAAGTATTTGAATAAGTACAAAAGTTAAGTGATCAATCTAAATTTTAAACAAAAATTCAACCAAAGTAGGAAAACTAAAAAAACAATGTTGCTGCCAGGGATTGAACCATGGTACTGGTATTCACAAATACCAAGTAGCTGCATTCCGTTAGACTAGACCCAAACATTGTTACTCATTATTGCACGTTATTGTTATTCTACAATAGTTAACTTCTTCAGAATTTTCAAAATTCCCGATATTTTTACACGCAATCTCCAAAATTCTCGGGGGGGTCGGCCCCCCCCCCCCCCCCCGAGGCACAAGGTAGCTCCGCCCCTGTGCTCCAATGCTACATCCTCTATATTTGGAGATCTCCTTTTTTTAAGTTTTCCATTTACTTAAAAATGTACTTATCGAAGACTTAATATAATTTGTTCATATTAATTTTTGTATAGTTCGTCATCATTCTTAAATACAAATTTTCCGGTAGAAATTTTTTTAATTTTGAGACCAAATTTTTGTTGACAAAAAATGATTGACCTAGTTTGGGTTTACACACAACACTTGAAAATTATTGATCTAATTAAACCCCTAACTAATCCCCTAATTAAACCCAAATTAACCCTTAAAATCTTAAAAAGAAAAAGAAACGCCACGTGGCGGGCTTTGGGGAGTCTCTATATTTGGGGAAACCCCCATTTCCACCCCCAAATTTGGGGATCCTTTTGGAGATCTCCCCCAAATATAGAGACTCCTCCATTTATAGAGGTTCCATTGGAGCCAACTTTCCCCTAAATGTAGAGGCTCCCCCATTTATAGAGGCTCCATTGGAGTTAGCCTAAGTGACCCTTGAATACTTCTTTAGTGTTTGATGCTTCAATTTTAATTTATGAGTATTTCTGTAGCGTTTAATAATTAATTCAATTTTTGTCTTTCTTATAAATGAAGGATAATTTTAAAATCGCAACCCAAATATCATTTATTCAAATATTGCATATCATATTACAGTATTAAATATTTAGAAGGTACGTTGAATTCATACCTTAATACCAATTTTTAGAACGGTCATGAAACAATGCTAATTTCTTTAGAAAGCAAGTGTGCATTGTTTATGTATTACGTACCCTAGCCGTCTGTTGTCTTTGTCATGCATGGTGCAAGTGCAAGCTATCTAGTTTGTTCCACATAATTGCATCTGTCGTAAGAATAAAGGACATTGGAAACTGCAATCTTATCTCATTTCACGATTAATTTGGCTTCACAACAAACAAGACCACAAGCAGTAGTACCGTTGTGACGTAAAGTCAAACGATCAGCGGCGGCTTCTACTGGTTTTAGTCAATCCTCATGCCACGTGGCGGAATCATAGATAATCCACGTGTAAATTCGTGCATGCATGCATGTCCCGTCTTTCGAGTTATATAAACGCTTTGCCTTTAAGACATATGCAATGCACCAGGTCCAAAATGGCGTTCTATCAGCTACTCGTCGTCATCTTCCCAATCTCCATCACCGTTCTCGTCCTAATAATCGCTTCCCGATTTCTCGCCGCCGCCGCCGCATCTTCCCAAAATCCGCTTCCGCCGGGCCCAAAACCATGGCCGATCGTCGGAAACCTCCCTCACCTAGGGAAAAAACCTCACGTCTCCCTCCGAAACTTCTCCAACATCTACGGCCCTCTCATATCCCTCCGCCTCGGCTCACAGCTCCTCGTCGTCGCCTCTTCCCCGGCTGCCGCGGCTGAGATCTTGAAAAAACACGACCGCCTCCTTTCGGCAAGATATGTCCCGAGAGCGGTGCCTTACGACACGGCGGAGCTCGACCGCAAGGCAATCGTGTGGGCGTCCAACTGCAACGACCAATGGAAGGCCTTCCGAGCCATGCTCAGGAACCACCTCACCTCGGCCAAGGCGATTGAGTCTCTAGCAGCCGTCAGGGAGAGGAAAGTCGCCGAGATGGTGGAATTTCTCGGCAGGAAGTTAGGGGAATCGGTTAGTATCGGTGAAGTAGTTTTCGCCACTATGTTTGATATGCTGTCGAATCTCATCTTTTCCCGAGATTACATCGGGTTTGTAAGAAATGAGGATGGGAATCGAATGAAATCACTGATTCAGAGGTTGATAGAATTGGGGGCTTCTCCCGATCTCGCAGATTTTTTCCCGGTTCTGAAGAATTTGGATCCCCAGGGTTTGAGACGTAAGTCAACTCGCTGTTGCGATGAGATTTTCTCTATTTGGCATCCTTACGTCAAAGAGAGGAGAGAGCTTCGGCTGCGAGAGCGATCTGGTGGTGCTGAAGATTTTTTGGATATTCTCCTGGAAAATGGACTTGATGATGACCAAATTGACTGGTTGAGTCTCGTAAGTACAAAAAAAAAAGGAAAAAAAATCGATTTTATGGTTTAGGCCAACAAGTTCAGTTTTAGCTTAGCTTTACCTTTGGTTTTTTCTTGCAGGAATTGTTCAGGGCTGGAACAGACACTACCACGGCCACAATAGAATGGGCCATGGCAGAGCTGATTCGAAACAGGAGAGTGATGAACAAGTTACGGGAGGAGCTGAAGAGAGAATTGTTGTCACCCAAATCAGGAGAACTGCTGCTGATTGACGAATCCATGGTGGCTCGACTTTCTTACTTGAATGCAATCGTGAAGGAGACGCTAAGGATACATCCGCCGGTGGCGTTGCTGCCGCACCGAGCGCCAGAGTCTTGCAAGGTGATGGATTACACAATCCCGGAGGGGGCTCGTATTGCAGTCAACCTGTGGGCGATAGGGAGGGATCCAACGGCGTGGGAGGATCCCGAGACGTTTCGGCCCGAGAAGTTTATTGGGTCGGATGTTGATTTTAGAGGTCAGGATTTCGAGTTTTTACCATTTGGTGCTGGGAGGAGGATGTGCCCAGGAGTGTTGTTGGCCATCAGACAGATTCCATTGGTGTTAGCTGCTTTGATTCATAACTTTGATTGGCGTCTCCCTGACGGAGAAGATCCGACGGAATTGGATATGAGTGAGAAGTTTGGACACACGTTGCAAAAAGAATTTCCTCTTGTTCTTATTCCCGACCAAATTTCATTTTGAGACTTTTGATTTTGGTCTCGGAGCTAAGAGTTAGTTATGTTGTGAATAGTTATGCGGAAAATAATTTGTAGCTCTTGCTTCATATAATAAAACTAGGGTAATGTCTATTTTTTATCCAAATTTTTTTCAGATTTTTTTATATTATCCAGACTTATTGAAATACTAAGAATTAGCCAAATGTTAACTTCCAGTTAGCAATTTTGTTAATAATATTGACTTGGAAGACACACATGAAGGTTAACATTCCAAAATTTTAGTAGTTTAACAAATACAAGAGTTACAAAATTATTAACGATAACGTAAAAATGACTAATATTTTGATGCATTATAAAAAATTTGGGTAATTAATAGAATTTTAATAGATTTGGATAATATAAAAGAATATGAAAAAATGGATAAAAAATAGACATTACCCATAAAACTATTCAATCACTCTTTTACTAGCTTGATGTGTTTTCCGTTGGCAGCAGAAAATCAAACCTCAATGAATTTCGGCACTATAATATAACATAGGAAAAAATGATATAATGAGTTGGTTGTCAGAGTAAGAAATTAGAACAAGAGGGATGTTTTGAATCGTGATAATTGGGTGATGGGTCTACATCTTATCGACTCTTCTATTTCTTAAAATTGTTACGAATTTTACATATAATTTTGTTTTTTTCAAATTTGTGGGGACTATAGACCCTCATGACTTCAACCTATCCCTCCACTGTTGGTTGATACATTGGGCTCCGATCTCTAATTTATAGTTGGGATGACAACCTCTCATCATGATGAGACTCTAAAAAATATAATTTACTGCCAACCAAATTCATATTGGCTCAATCAAATCGCTAAACTTATGACGCCGACGGGGTAGCAGATCAAATCATTAACCTTCTGGTCAATACTCAATACCTATACATAACCTTTCGTCCAAAAAATAAAAATAATAATGCATAACCTGCCACATCACTATTTATCAAAAGCATCTCACATTTTCCCTATAAATTTTAAAGGACTATATATCTCCTTCATTTTAAGTTGTAATTTGATTTTTTTCACAAATAAATCAAATAAATTGTGCTCTTCGGTGATATCTAACTTTTATGTATTTGTGGGGGGAAAAAATTGAGACATGAACATGAATATGGCATCATCATCAACTTAAAGTATCGTAGTCCGTGATAGCAATCGTGTGAACATGTTGAATGAGTGATTGTGTGTGATAGAATCCAACTGATTCAACAGAACATATTGCTAAGCCAAGCTACATGCTCCCCAGAAGATTCCATGAAAATGGACATTGGAAACTAGTATCTTTTCTCATTTCACGCTTAATTTGGCTTCACGGCAAACAGGAACGTAACAGAACCACGCAGTAGCACTGTTGTGATGACGTGAAGTCAAACGATCAGCCATAATCTCAATGTAACGCCTTCTAGTCTTCCACTGGTTTCAGTCAATCCTCATGCCACTTGGCGGAATCATAGACCATGCACGTGTAACTTCATGCATGCATGCATGTTCTATCTTCCGAGTTGTATAAACGCTGCTAATTCATATGCCCTTGCCTTTAGACATGCACAAGGTCCAAAATGGCGTTCTAACACTTCTTCCTCCTTGAAGTACCGACCACTTAGGTAATTCTGGACAATCGGCTCGATTTGAATAGTCTGGCCATGTATGGCGGATTGTCTGGTTCAACCATATATTTGGTTGATGCTAGTTGGACATGAGGTGACCATCTGTCCAATCCCATCGGTACCATCCAGATTTTTTGGCTACCAGTGAAAGTGTATTGATAATTAATAATTATGGATCAAGAAACGATAAATATTTGGTGTTTCACTCAATTGGAAATACACTTGAAACAAACATTGCCTTGCACTTTTTGGCTATTGTTTTATCACAATACAGAGAGTTAGCCTCTACCAATGCTAGTACTCCCTTTCACGACTGGCTGCTTACAAATCTGCTTATACATGTATTTATTTGTGTATGGGCTGAGGCCCTAATCATTTGGAGGCCCTGTGCTGTGGGTCTGACCAGCACAGGGCTTAGGCCGGATCTGACAATTAAAGCTGGACTGTCAGAACTCAGAAACAATCAAAACAATTTGTCTTTTATTAACTTTCAATCCATTTGTTATACCTTGCTTCCATTATTTTGATGGTTGATCTTCCATGTTCTGCTCCTCCTAACATCAACGTGGCAAAGACTCCATAATTCATGCATTGATGATATAACCAATCTACCATATGAGATGTCTTACATATAGGTTTAGTTGCAAATTATCATTCAACATAAGCATATTAATAAGAATACATAGCAAGTTTATTTTTTTATTTTATCATACTTAAACCCTCGGAGTTGGAATGAGAACTAGTGGGTGCAGTTTCAACAGCGTGACACCGTACCTCTCCTCCATCCCCATTTCCTCCACCGCCGCCGCCGCTCCCTCCGGCATCGACCACTCAAACCCGTGGACCAAAGTGGCCACCGCCAGCTGGATCATCCTTATCGCCATCGGCATCCCGGAACACATCCTCCTCCCGCTCCCAAACGGCAGGAACTCGAAGTTGCTGCCCTTGTAATCCACGTCATGCTCACGTCCACCACCGCCGGCCATGATAAACCTCTCCGGCTTGAAACTCGATGCGTCCTCCCAGTACCGCGGGTCCCTTCCGATCGCCCACACGTTGACGAACACCTGTGCGCCTTCAGGTACGGTGTAGCCCATGACGTGGCAGTCCCGAGCCGCGCGACGTGGCAGCAGGAGCGGCGCCGGAGGGTGGAGGCGCAAAGTCTCCTTCACGCACGCGCATAGGTAAGGAAGGTCCGGGAGGTCGGATTCTTTGATGACGTGGCCTCTCGGGAACTTGCCGTCGAGCTCCCGGCGAGCTGCGGTGATTGTTTTAGGGTTCTTGAGAAGCTCCGCCAGCGCCCATTCGGTGGACGCGCTTGTGGAATCTGACACCGCCGCTAGCATTTCCTGATCGTCACTCATCATAGTGAAACGATATTATTTTTTTTTTTGGTAAATAGTGAAACGATATTATTGGTACCTCGTGTTGAATATTTCTACTTTTTTTTAACGAAAAGAAAATGCTATATTTTTTTTACTTTTACGTTTTTTGTAGTTGGTGGAGTGTCTTCATCATCACCAAGTAGACCGGAGATTTACGGTGACGTACAAGATTTTTCACGACCCCATGTGTATCTATCTTGTTTAATATTAGGTATTTTCCTTGACATGACCTAGTATCATTATTAGATTGGTACAAACTTTAATGTGACTAGTACTGTGTAACTTTTTTTTTTATACTAATTATGAGTTGTAGTAGTTGCCGATTTATAGTTCTACAATTGAAAAGGAAACACAACGCTTGCCATTGTAAAATAAATAATACAACTACGATTGTGTCGGAGTTGTAGTACTCCTACAACCATGATTCAAAAAACGCGTGTGCTTATATTTACGCTTAGGTATGGCTACTGGCGCTAGACAATGCCAAAACGCCTCACCTAAGGGTTTCACGTCTAGTTTGATCGATGTTTGGAATGAGTACGTTTCTAACATTGGGTATCAGGACATGTCAATATATATAGAGTAATTAAGGTGACAACTAAGTGTCTCTATGCATAAATAGATGGAGTTAGACAATCAATATCAAAGGAGGAAATTAATATCAACTACGAAATCAATTTTCTATCTCGATATTTTAAGTAGCTCAAGAACTTTGTGAGCTATTGAGCAATGATTTATGAATATGGAGCTATATATTTTTCTTAATCATGTTAAGTAAATTATTAATCATTTTAAGAGAAGTGAGAAAATATTATTAATTTATATATCATCCATCATGCAGAGCAAATAACTATTTTTCTTCTAACACCTTATAAGCACGCTTAGTCTACGCCTAGATGAGTTAGGCACTCAACAAAGCCACAACATCTGTCTTTCAACTAGCGCTAGGGACGGAACCAGGATTTCAAGATGGGGGGAGGGGAGTTAGCTAGTGCATTATGGCCAAAAGTGAAATGATAAGAAAAATAGTACAAGAAAATATATTATTTATTATCATTATTATTATAATAATATAAGAAATTATTTGAATTGAAATGACACTCAAATTAGAATCTAAATAATAATTTCTATATCTTATGTTAATTTCTATATCAACTTAATTGACCTTATTTAAATTGTTAAATTAGCCTTTGGTCAAATTAAACTAGTATATTAAATTACCAAGCTCTAAAACGTAAGAAACTACCAAACTCTAAAACATAATAACATGTAAAAAATTGACATATTCAATGTTTGAACCGAGCCGCTCTCTTAGAAAGGATATACCCTACCGCTAAACCACAACCAATTCATGTTTCTCTTCTGCACACAATTATACTTCTAAATAACATTCCGTTTATACATAAATTTCCAAACTCCTATCGAACTTAACACGTGATTTCATAATTCTCGGGGGAGGGGAGGCCCCCCAAAGACCAACGTAGATCCACCTTCTTGAACCTTGCCTACAATTGTAAAAAGACTAATGACAACTACAACTAAAAAATAATTGACTATAACTATGATTACTACATGGTTTGCATCTTAGCAAGATAATATTTTCCACGGTAGAATACTAACATGTATTTTGTAAAGTTATAGTAAAAGTTCAACTTGTATTTCGCAAATCCCACTTATTTATATGCTTTGAACTTAAATGTTAACTTATGTGGGAAAAAAAAAGAGATAAAGGAATTACCACAAAGGTGTAACTGATCGCCTCGTCGGAAAATCCAACGTCGAGCAACGCGTCCAGGAAGTCACGGCCGCCGTCACCATCCGGACGATCACTTGTTCTGACTTCCCTCCGCCGCGAGATGATGAGCGGGTCCCACACCTCCCTCAGCTTCGCCACGCACTCCTCCGTACGCTTCCTCAGACCCAGGAGGTCGAGCCCGCCCAACGACGGATAAAGGTCCGAGACATTCGGAGCCGCGTACAGCTCCATCATCTCCCTCACGATCCCGCTCACCCGCTCCACGTCACCTCCGCCGCCTTCCAGCTGGACCAGCTCCCTCGACACGTAAGCGCTAGCCAACCCATTGAACATGTAAGCGAACGCCACGTCACGGACTCTCACCTCTTCCCCCACCTGCCTCCGCTCCAGAAAACGAGCCATATCCCGAGCCTGCTTCTCCCGAGCCTCCGAGTGCCGGTCCAGAGCCTTGGAGGTGAACAGCTCGGCCCGAACCAACGAGCGGAGTGAGCGCCACTGGTCCGTGCAGTGGGTGGCCCACGCGATGGAGTCGCGGTTCAGCTCCGGGTCGCGAGCGAAGGACACGTGGGGGACGCTCCGGCCGGAGAGGTCGTGGTCGTGGGTTTTGAGGATCTCGCTGGCGGCTTCGGGGGAGGAGGCTACGACCACGAGCTGGGCCCCCAGGCGGAGGGAGATGAGCGGGCCGTGGGCTTGGGAGAGTTGGGAGAAGGCTACGTGGGGCATGGATCCGACGTGGAGGAGGTTGCCGAGGATGGGCCAGGGTTTTGGGCCTGGGGGGAGGTGGAGGGACGGCCTCCGGTTGCGGAGGAGGAGGAAGCGGGAGAGGAGGAAGAGTATGACCGGTAGTAGACCAAGCAGTAAGCGTGGGAAGAAGAAGAAGAAGAAGAAGGTGGCCGGAAGGAAGGGAGAATGGGATTCTGCGACGGTCGCCATTGTTTGTGTGTTTTGTGGGGATACTATACAACGTCGGATTGAGAAATTGGCGTAGGTACTAGGTAGTGAGGAGGGTATTTATAGGTGCACGGTAGGGAGGAGAAATAAGAGCAAAGGTTAAAAGAAACGGAACTTGTTGCTTGTTGCCGTTAAAATTAGTAAATTACCGTTGCACCGTCAGGGGCAAAGGTTTCGTTTGGGGGTAAGCTATGTCTGGATGTGGGCAGCTGAGAGTTATGTCAAAAATAACTAAACAACATATAGTGTGTACTATGTCCATATTTTTTATGTGTGAAAACTGAAAATGACACATACTATTAACAGTCCACATATTGAAGAAAAAGAATGATATATGATGCCAGAGCAGCCCAAAGTAGGTAGGCTGCACCACCTTAGTTGCAATTAGGGGTGTTCAAAAGGTTTGGTTACCATGGTAACCATTTTAACCGGTACTATTTGGATAATTTGGTTTGGTTAATTTGGATAATTGGTTTGATTTGGTTAAAGTTTTTAGCTTATTTGGTTTAGGTGGTTTGGTTTGGTTTCAGACACTCCTAACCAGTCAAACCAAATTAACCAGTTAAATAATTAGTCATATATCTAACATATATTATATACACATACTTAATACTTTGCATAATCACTCAAGAGTTAACGTTCATCCCTTTTAGACTCATAAAATATAAAGCTCAATATTGCTCATATAGTGTATATTTGTATATGTAAAATGTAGACCACAACATATGGACACCTAATTTAGATAAATTTCATACGTTATGATGGATGAAAACATGAAAAGAAGGTCATTTCCAGCCTATGATAATTGCTAAGAGACTAAGTCAATTTACGCAAACACAACAATTCATTAACCCATACCATTGTCATAAATTTTTGTTAGGTGAATACTTATGTACTAATCGTAAGATAATTTTCTTAGTTGCGTGTATTTTCGTTAAGATTCAACTATAACTACGTGTTGATTGTTATATTTTATTCATTATATAAATTGCGAATTGTTGCATTAACCGAAAAATTTTCATCGTCAATGATAATGTGATTTTATATTGGTTAATCTGGTTAACCAAATAACCAAACCGATTAAACTTTAGTTTGGTTAATTTGGTTGTTATATTAGTTTGGACGGTTTGGTTATGATATTGTATTATATGGTTAATGGAATTTAGCCTTATTTGGTTTGGTTATAAACATTGGTAACCATTTGAACACCCCTAGTTGCAACACACATGCAGTGGCGGATACATGCATGGTTAGAGGTGTCCCGGGACACCCCTAAAATTTGGAAACACGATTATTCAACCTACGATAGTAATTTGCGTATGAGAAAAAAATATTTAAGTAGTAGTGGGACACCTTTAAAATTTGGGAAAATGATTATCCAATCTCCCGTAGTAGTTTGAGTATTGGTATAAATAATATTTGAGTAGTAGTTTATGTGATTTAAATTTGGGACACTGCCACTATTAGTTAATATATTTTCAATTACGCTACAACTCATTTGTTATTGTGTTTTAGATCCAAATATAATAGTAAAATATTATTCTTATCCCAAATTATTTTCAAAACGTAACGATTAAACTCAATTACGGGATATCGTAGTCTAGTAAGATATGTCGAGAGATATTTGTTGAGCAGTATAAACACCGAATGCATTTTATCATTTGATGAAACACATCTGAACTTTTAATGAAACTTTATTAGTTAGATATTTTCATATTTAATAATTATTTAATTTAATTCTTATATTTAATATAATTTTTTTATAGAGGACACCCCTACGTAGAATTCCTAGATCCGCCACTGCACACATGCACATATTATTAATAAGGGTTATAGGTATAATATGCCCCTCTACTATGATGTTTTATCAAACATGCCCCTCTACTATTTTTTACATCAAACATGCCCCTGTACTTTGGAAAACTTATCAAACATGCCCTTTTGTTAAAATTTACATCCAAAAATCATTAACCAAGACCGAACTTTGGTTTGGGCGACCCAAATATCTAAAATATCTCTAATAATTTCACTTTAGAGTTTTTTTTTGTTCTTTTGTTTAGCCAAATAATTCTAATAATTTCACTTTGATGAGACCTAGAGAAATAAAGCAAGGGTCAAAACTGACATTTTCCCTCTCATTTATCGATGTCAGGTCTTCTAAATCTCGATTCAACCATGATTGACGATTTTTTCATTGGAAATTTTAACTGAAGGGCATGTTTGATAGTTTTTCCAAATTACAGGGGCATGTTTGATGTAAAAAATAGTAGAGGGGCATGTTTGATAAAACGTCATAATAGAGGGGCATATTATACCTATAACCCTATTAATAACTAATAAGCTACGAATCGAACTGCTACTGAAACTATGGTTTAATTTAATCGTGGTTCAATCGTCTCATATAGCTAAATATTGTCTACCGATTTAGCCTCCAATATGAGGTTTTTCTTCTCAAACCACCAATGCAGTATGATTTTCCAATCCTTGGAATTTATTAACAAGGTTCAGCTACGAGCCATTTATTTTATGTTTTTAAAATCTAATTTGTTTATTCGTCAATATCTAATAGTTTAGTTTACATTAAAACAAGGAACACGACCTCGCCTGTTGTTTATTACCCATCCCAGTCCCTAATACGACATCACCCCAAAATATTACCAACCTACTTTGTTCTACTCACATACCATAATTTCATAATTCACACAAGGCACAACCTCAATCCAATAACTCTGTCAGCTATCGATGACTCGTTGCTTTTGTCGCTCGATGTTCACTAGCATATTCACCATTTGTTTAATGACAAAAAAATAATCTTATATTGCTTCTGAAAAAATGCCACTTGTGACTTTAATGAATTCCCCAACATTTGAGTCAGGTTGTCGATAGTCGCTTGCACTTGCCGTTCACAGCGACATATATCATTGTTCGACCTACCTTAACAAAATTTATGGCTATGCCACTGTATGATGTAACACCTTAGGCAAATCTCACATCGACAAAACACGAGAGAGATCCATGGTTCATAAGTAAAAAACCAATCTTAACTGACAAGACGCGTTTTGAGGTGAAATGAAGGAGAACTCTGAAGTTAAACGTGCTCAGTAGTAAAGCACTGCAACTCTGCAAGGATGTGTGACCTTATGGGAATTCACCCTAATATGTACCCAAAGGCTAAAAATGTGTGGATCTCGGTCCAAAACGAACAATATATTCGTCGGGAAAAAGGTTCGGGATGTTACACAATTGAAGAAAAGAAAATTTCTCAAAAAGAAAAAAGAAAAACTTAAATGAAGGCTTTTTGGAAGGTCTCAAATTAGCAAAAGAATATGAAACAAATGTATGGTTCAATGAGACTATCATTTGTTGGTTAAAGCATTATATTAAATCTCGATGAGATGGTCATGGCGAGCTATTGCCAAGATAGGTTCAATGGCATCTATCCACAAATTAAAATTAAGACTGTGTCAAGGAAATTCGATTGTAGGAGCACTTTTATTATGTTATAAACCATTGATGTTTCAATGTACAATATAAAGTTGTACCATAACATTAGAGGTATAAATTCAGGTTATATTATAAAGTAATTTGTATCCTTATATTATGGTACAACTTCACAACTTAAAGTTGTACTGGTGGTTCGTTACCGCCTAGATCTACTTTGTCAAACATTTGGATAAATATTCTAGATATAATTGTTGATATCTTCTAAAAATGTAACCTGATTTCCTCTTTTATAGTTGGTGGAATTAAAGTTAATCTTATTGTAAAAAAAAAAAAATAATAAATAAAAGGACCCACGAATCAAAGATCTGGAGAATCCAATAATATGGACAGTGTTGAAATAAAGCTATTTGGTGGCGGATGATCGTGGATGCACAATGGCACATAGTAAACCTCGTAAATATATAATAGTGTGTAGTAATTTTTTCTTCTCTTATATATAGCGTTGATTTCTAACTTCAAAAAATGTTCAGTACTTATTAGAAAGGAAAATGAGTCAAGCGGTTCGCGAGCAACTCGGCATTTGAATTGAAAAACTCGTTCGATACTTGACTCGTTATTTAACAAGCCGGCTCGCGAGCCAACTCGTTAGTAACGAGCCAAGTTTAAGCTATACCATGCTCAGCTTGATATGCCTGTGAGCTAGTTTGACTCGGTGGCTTGTTGAGCTAAGCTCGCAAGCTGTCTTGTTTAAAGCTTGTGGAAGGATTAATTACTCTTCTGAACTTGAACATTGTCTTGCTAATACAAATAAGTATGGAAGTTAGATGTTATTTTGAGTTTCTAGTATTTTTTTATCATTTTAATTCTTACTATTTACACAATTTATTGCAAGAATGATTTCAAATCGAGCTCATCTGTAGCCGTACTCAGTTTGACAAGCTATGTTAATTAATGAGCATTTATTGAGCTCTACCTAGATTATTTTTATTCAAGCCGAGCTTGAGCTTAAAAATTTATAAACGAGCCGAGCTAAGCAAAAATTCGACTCGACTCGGCTCGTTTGCAGCCGTAGTCCTTATGTTTTTTAGGGGGTCTCTTTCCTTCTTCTTCTTCTTCTTCTTCCAAATAATGAGTTATAAACTCATCTTCTTCTCCATTAAGTTCATTGGCTTCATTAAGATCCTCTTCTCCATGGTACACAATCTCTTCAGCTTCTTCCTTGTCTAATGTGTGGGCACTTAGGATGATCCTTCTTCTCTTCATGGTCCACGAAATCTTTATGCTCCATTAGCTCTTCTTCTACCTTGATCTCTTCAAAACCTTCACGCACGTCATTGGAACTTCTTGATCGGCTTCGAGAGGCTCCTCGATGATTTGAACATCTTCTACCAATTGTTTGATCCCTTCTTCATTGATGCTAGTACCGATGCTCCTAGAAGTTCTTGGCTTGACCTTGCGTCTTCATTGGAGGAAAGCATAAGCTTGCTCCCATTCCTCTACTGTTATGTAGTTTACATATGTTTCCCTTACTATCTTTAAGTCTTCTGGATCTCCTTCATCATCATTCCAAACTATATGGATC